AAAATATTTCGGATATCGCGCGCCGTTACATTTTATATATATATATATATATATATATATATATAAATACTTTTTTATTTACCATGTTGTTAATGTTGTACTTAAGTATTTGATAGGAAACGAACAGCGACACAATAAGGTGACAGCGACACACCTGTCTATTTTCAGGACTCGCAACCGCATTCTCAGAAAACATGCACTGTATGAACTGGACAACTTGTAGTACAGTGCGAGAGAACCGCTCATGTGTGGTCTCACTCTGGGTAAGTCTTGGCCTAATGGTTAGAGAGTCGGACTCGTAACCCAAAGGTTGCGGGTTCGAGTCTCGTACCGGCAGGGATTGTGGGTGGGGGGGAGTGAATGTACAGCGCTCTCTCCACCTTCAATACCACGACTGAGGTGCCCTTGAGCAAGGCACTGAACCCCCAACTGCTCCCCGGGTGCCGCAGCATAAAATGGCTGCCCACTGCTCCGGGTGTGTGTTCACGGTTCACGGTGTGTGTGTGTGTGTTCACTGCTGTGTGTGTATGGGTCACCATACTTGGCCACATGTCACGTCACTTTCACTTACAACTACGGAGAAATAAGCTGTGCAACATCTGAAGGTTATAGGGCCTTTCGCACCGCAGGAACCTTTTCATAGTACCAGAACTAATTGTGGAACTACCACAAGATTAGTTTTTCCAGATTAGTACATTTAACTACCCACTTTTCGGCGTGTTCTCACCACCGGAACTGGGAGCGATTTTAGTACCGGACTGCCTTTTTCGAGAACCAAATTAGCTCCTACTCCGGAGCAGGGTCTAACCAGCACAACTGGTACTAATCGTGACATAAGTAGACATTGATTGGCCAAACGCGTATGAAAACGCCCTCACCCGGCATGATTTAAAACGCTGTGTAAACATACTGTAAGCATGTCAACTTATTTCGCAAGTATGGAGAACAGCGATAGATGGACGGATGCTGAAGTGCAGGCACTTGTAGCAAATGTAGCACTGTCAGTTGTCGTTGGAGATTCTTAGTCCTCCTTTCCGTTCTTTCAATCGCTTTACGTAGACGTCGACTTTCCATGTCCATTATTGTGAAACCCGCGAGACGCAACAAAAACACAGCTCCGATCACAGCGTCCTCCATCCTGCTGTTGTTAACGTAGTTTTTTGTTTCTGTTGTTGAACGGCGCGCACAAATGACGTCGCTGTCGACCGGCGTACGTCACTTCTTAGTACACACTTTCGGTGCGAATGCAACCCTTTAAATGGTACTGGGGAAATAGTTCGCGCAAGATCGTCCCAGTACTTTAGTACCGTACATTTAGTTCTGGAACTAAAGCGGTGCGAAAGGGCCTTTTGAGATGCAGTCACTGTTCTCCACTGGAGCAGTTTCCGTCAGTTTTGTGCGTCACTCAAATTCAGTGTCATGCGTCAGTCATTTCGAGACTGTAAGGAAATGCGGTTGTCAATCCCTAAAACTGACAGTGTGAACGTGGCCATAGTTAATATAGTGATTACTTTCATTTCTGGCGCTATGGCATTTTTAAACTGTCTGAGATGTTAGCGTGTCTCTATTAATATCGGTCACAAACATGAGCACTGCACGATCTAATGTGTAGTGTCTTATTTAACTCACTGTCATGCGTTGTGTGCAAATATGCATTTCCTCTCCCTCTTCACGTTTCGTTGATTTTCTCCACTGCTAAAGAAACTCTTCAGCCTCTTAAAAGTCCTCGTCAGTACTCCTAACAATTTTGGATGTTAAGAGCTCTTTTAAGAGTTAAGATGCTTTCTGAATTACTTTTTTCTTTGCTAGGATCTTTTCTTAAATTTTTTGAGGAATCACCCACATTTCTAAGAATGTTCTTAGAATTTTGTTACTAGGAGCAACTCTAAGCACTAAGATTGTTCATGAATATGGGCCAAGATCGTGACATCGTGATTGATGGGCTGTGCTTGCTTGCCCTTTACCAAAGGAGTGACATGTCAGTGGTCAGCGAGTAAATTTAGGGATGGTTTACTAAATCACCCCTACTCATTTTCTATGCGTTACTTTTGCATTTAAATTTTTTTTTTTTTAAACAAGTTGCCCTCAAACCTGTTTAAAACCCTTCTGGCTTGATTTTTAATCTTTTATTTCATCTTAACAGTCGTCGAGATGACATGGAATCGCTAGGATACGTGCTGATGTACTTCAACAGAACCAGCCTGCCATGGCAGGGACTGAAGGTAAGCAGTACAGATAATGCAGGTGTTTATTTATAATAGCTGGATTTTAGATGGGATCGCACTGCATGTCTTAGACAGATTTGTTGAACGTACTTGTTCCTGAGACACTGATATATAGATTTTTTTTTTTTTAAAGCATGCCAGTAACTTTTCTACTTTGTATGGTTTGAATGTAGGTAATATTAAGTATGGATGTTTAGAAATGCTGCCTTTATGTAATTAGAGCAGGAGAATACTCCTTAATGTCACTGAATATTACCAACTTTCTTTATTACTGTGGAGGGAAAAACCTTAAAAGAATGAACTTAAAATTGCTAGGCAGCAGGGCTCCAGACTGTGCCTAAAATTTGCGACCGAAAATATTAATTTGCGAGTGATAATTTTGCTGGCGACTATACAAATTTACATGTAACGATTTAAAAATTTGCATGTAATGCCTTTTTTCCTGATTGTTTTGCGATCACATCATTTGTTATGTTGACGTAATGAACTGAGACGATGCGCATCAAAGTTATAGTGGAAAAACAGTCCTCATCTCTGCCGAACACCAGCACACCTGCTAAAGCTCCAGTTGTGAGAGAGATCGAAAATGACGGAGACGTGCGAAGTAAAAGTGCAGAAAAGCAGTGTCTATTTCGTGCACAACTTGAACAAACTTCAACAGGTAAATCTGTCAGCTGTGTGGACATTAGCAATATCGTTAACAATTCTCGTTTATAATCGATACTGATATGGCTTCTTGTTATCAAGATCTTTAGTCTATATGCTGTGTTCTGTTAATTCGTGAACTTCATATTATTTGTAGCGCATTTGCCATCCAATAATCACAATATGCTTTGTTACCTTTTAATAGACAAAGTATCAGCTTTTAAATTCTGCCAAATTCATAATAAAAATTTAAACAATAAATACCGTTTTGGCGCTCTTTAATGTGGCATGAGCGATCGCTTTAGTTCTTGCGGCATGTGAACCCATCATATCTTTCTCTTTACTACTACAGTATGAAATAAACACGAAAGGACACCAAAAGGTATATTTCAAACTCTGGAAAACTAGTAAAGCTTGTAAACAATGCCATGTGACAATACATTTACCTCAGAATAACCATTTGGTGTCCATAAGCTCTTTAGTCATATTTATATATATATAAAAAAAAAAAGCGTTTTGCCAAATAAATGCGCTATATTGCATTTTTATATTTTTACTTGAATATAAAGAAAGAATTCAAGGAGCTAAAGATAAAATTCAACACCACCTATATAATTGCATGTTACTAATGAAGAGAAACATACTGGATGTGTGCAAGACGTATGACAACATTTATAGGATGCATTGAGCAGGAGCCTAAAACTATACTCAATGGCCAAGAGATGCTGACATAATTATGCCAAGTGAAATTGGCACATATTCTGTGTTATAAGCAATTCTTTGTGACTGTATATAGTTCTGAAGTTGGGAAAGACGTGTAGTTCCCACTTTAAGTGAACCATAGTTCCCAGGACATCTAAAAGATGGATTAAAATGCTAATTAACATAAGAAAAGGTGAGATATAAACACATGACAGTATGACTGAATAATAAAATTAAATAGATAAATAAAACATGTTTATTCTGTGGTATTTAAAAAAATCATTTGCCACCTAATTATGTTTCTTATAGGAGCCAGTGGCTCCTTAATTGATTTTTGTCTGGAGTCCTGTAGGCAGTATAAAACAGGATAACAGGTGGTGCCTAAAAAAGTGCTGTAAATCTCCTTTCATCTGGGTTATTTATGGCCTCTAGCACTGTGGGATTGCACACTGATGGACAGCCAGTACCACATCATAGCGTGTAACATTTTAATTTTTGTCCACAGGCTGCCACAAAGAAACAGAAGTATGAGAAGATTAGTGAGAAAAAGATGTCGACCCCCGTCGAGGTGTTGTGTAAGGTATGTGAAATTCTGCACGTCACAGCAAGGCTTTTCAAAAGTCTGCATTCATACATGCTACTAAACCTCTGCTCAGTTTAAAGGTTGTGATGGTACAATTCTTAGGCTCCATGAGTATTCAAATTAGTTATCTCCAGAGCATTCAATACTGCTAAAAAGACCAACTGTATATGAATATGATGCTTGGCCACTATTTTTGTTTTGCTTCTTTTGTGTGTGTCTTTTTTTAAGGAATATAAATGTTTATATTTTGTATGTCAGCCTACAAACTATGTACAAACATCCAGTTGCTTATAAGAAACTCTGATCCTATGTCTATTAGGCTGGGCGATATATATCGAGTTTGTACGATATATCGATATTTTCTTTATAAGCAATTTGATAGGAGGCAATACCGTTTATATCGATATACAGTAGTTTGATACGAGCGCATGTGAAAATATAGCAGAGGACACAGACTGAGCTGCTGCGGAGAAAGTGCATCCTATTTGTTCTAAACCTGTGACAAGCTTCATATTAAGACCTTTAAAAACTAGTTAGACATAGTTTATAGTTTCATTTCACATATTAGTTAAAGCGGCTCAGCCCGTCATATGCTCTGACAGAAAGGCTGTGTGTGCCCACTAGGGTTGTGCGATTTGGGGGAAAATGTCAAATTGCGATTTTTTTTTTTTTGACCGATATTGCGATTGTGATTTGATTTGCGATTTTTAAATTTGCAAAGTTGAGCTTCAGCTCAATATTGTCAATAATGTGCAGCACAGTATGGGTATCATTACCCTGCTGAAAAAAACAATAGAAACCATCAGAGAAATTCTTATAGTTTCCATTAAACCATTACAAAATTCTGTTGTTTTTTTTTTTTTTTTTTTTAATGTTGGGTGTTTACGCAGTTGATTACAGCAGTGCTGATTGGGGAGAACGGAGGTGCGCTCACTCTCGCCCAGGGCAAGTAAGATTGCAACTCAAGGCTGGCAGTCATGCATATGCTCTGGAACGGAGTAATATCGCGTCCACATCGCAGGCTTTGCAATTAGGAAATTGCAACGTCTCAAATCGCGATTTCGATTAATCGCACAGCCCTAGTGCCCACTGGGGTTGGGTAACGTTCACATTTTAACCGCTACGGTACCGGTATCGGTACCTGAATTTCGGTGCCGGTAACCAACGGTACCTTTTTTCAGTACTTTATTCTGTGTAATTACAAAAACATTTATTTCAGTGAAAAAATAAGTCCAAAAGTCTCAATTTCAACATTTTGAACAATAGGGCGCTACAAACTTTTTCTTTCTTTTTTTCCCCCCAGAAATTCTTGTTTTCATTTTTCTGAAAATCAAATGAAGGCATTGACTATAGAGTAAATTACGTTTTTATGAATGGACTCCGCGATCCCGTCTGCGTTTTCGCAGAAACCATATGACCCTAGAAATGTAACCACACTTCAGAACATTTCGGCTTGCCCTGTGTATTGTTTGAACGAGTTGCAGGGGTGACCTCACGTCACAGGGTCTCTCTTTCTCTCTCTGTAGCGTATGCGCCCAGATGTGGTGTTCTCAGGTACCGAAATTTGGCACCAATAGATTTAACGTGAATCGGTACTCTGTGGTACCGACGCAATTTGGTCGGTACCCTTAAAAGTACCGATTTCGGTACCCAATCCTAGTGCCCACTATAGGCTACTCGCGCTGTTTAATGTGTTTGTGAAATGCTGCCTTCCTGAATGCATAACTTACATTTCAAAGGTATATTCTCCATCTGTAAATGTTAGAAAGCCATGGAAATATTTCCATTTTTCTGTCAGAAGTGCATGAGCCTTCTGCTTTGGGATTCTCCGCCAAACTTAACAGACTTCAGTGAACGAGCGCTGCCGCGCCCCAAACAGACAGCTCAATTAAATAGGAGTGCAATAACTCTGAATGAAATTTTAACCCATTTTTTGCACATAATATAAAGGCTTACATGGTTACATTTTACTTAATTTTTTTTCATAGCCTTTATGTATTGTTTTGTTGGACAACTTTGGGCGGCGAGTGAATTATTTATATATATATATATATATATATATATATATAAATATATGTATGTGTGTATGTTAAATACAGATTTTTAAAAAATACAAAAACGAAAATACCGAGATATATACCGTATATTGCACATCGACCAAAAAATACTGAGATATAAGTTTTTGCCCATATTGCCCAGCCCTAATGTTTACTCACCAGGCTTCTAGCCTACATGACTGTAATTTCAGACAGCCTTTTTCCTGCTAACAGTGCTTTATATGAGATTAAAAAATATCTGGTCAAATTGACATGACATTTGTGGAGCTTGGTAATTTGGTTCTTTCGTTACATGCATTTGGCTCTTTCTCCAGGGTTTCCCAGCAGAGTTTGCCATGTACCTGAACTACTGTCGTGGGTTGCGGTTTGAAGAGGCACCTGACTACATGTATCTGCGTCAGCTTTTCCGCATTCTTTTCAGGTGCCTGACAATTTCTTGCATTACCTCAACACTCCCAACTGGCCCAGAAACACCAAGACACTCCCTAGTCACAACTTGTTTTCCACATCTTTGTTACCAGTAGAGTCTGAGGTCAATTTTTCAAGCAGAAAGTCTTGCAAGTTGTGGACTCCTTGTTTATTTCTTTACTTGTGGTATCTAAGTTAATTTGATTTTTATGGGTATACTCACTCTCGCTTGATCACTTCCAGGACTCTGAACCACCAGTATGACTACACATTTGACTGGACCATGCTGAAGCAGAAAGCAGCACAGCAAGCGGCCTCCTCAGGGGGACAAGGGCAACCGGCACAAACCCCCACAGGCAAGCAAACTGACAAACCCAAGAGTAACATGAAAGGTTAGTAGCAAACAGCCAAGCGACGTTTTCAGTGCAAAAACAGAGACACCAATTGCTTACATTTGTAAAAACAATAGTGGATTTGGAACATTCGCTCCTCAAAAGATTCATGAAATGCAAAGAGACAGTGTTAGTTCAAGGATGCACCCACAAAAAAAAAAATTCAATTGGTATGTCTTGCAAAAGCAAAGACGTCCTTGGGAAATTTGACTACTAACTTTGTACCAAAAGATGTCTATTCTTCTCTGGGACGAAGGGTTGGCTTCATAATCTTTTCTGTGAATGTCAGATAACCATCCCTTAAAATTAACCCCTTTCTAAATGGGATGCTCTGTTTGACAGTTTTCTCCCAATCATTGTTCCTGGATCTAACACTTGTTAGTCTTGATTATAATGGTCTCTTCAGTACAAACATGGATACGTGGGAGTGATTTCTAACCACAGGCTAACCAAGACCATGTCATTTCCACGTCTTTTCATTGATTCTTACTGTAATTTTCAATGTGTTTGGTGTTGAGGGAACTGTAATATTGTTCTATGTTCATGTGATGACTCAACAGTGATGTTTTTTGTGATTCTAGTTGTGGATCTGCTTTCCAGCAAAAAAGCATAGCCCATTCTTTGTATATGGACTTGGAGTTGAGAGTGTTTTTTATTTTTTCCCATCCATCATATTATGTTTCCTAAGGCAGAACTGTTGGCGATTTAAAATTTATGTTAACGAACATATCAAGTCTGTTTCACACTACATTAGCGATAAATAGTCCTGGTCAGATGGTGTAGGCTTTAATGTTGTCTAAATCTGTTGTGCATCTAATGCAGTGTAGGCTTGACACTTGGAAGGGCACGGTTAAGTGGAAAAGCTGCTGTAACTCTTCCACTGCTGTGTCCTTTAGTGCCCTGTTAAAGTTGGACAACTACAGCAGTATTCAGTTTGGGTGTTTGTCATTATTAATGGTATACATCTCAGTGGTTTTAAATAGGGGTGCTCCGATTGATCGGCTACCGATCACTATCGGCCGATAATCACGTTGGGATGTTTGATCGGTGGTCTCTAAAAAGGCAGATCCGACAAACCGAGCGAATCACCGTGCGCGCTCTCCCTTTCTCTCTCAAAATACGCAAATGGCTTCAAATCACCACATCGCGTCTGTCTATAAGCGAGCTGCACTCTGCACAGTTGACACAGGAATTATCACTTGCACAATCGAGGCAGTGTCACATCATCACTAAAGTTTATAAATTGCATTACTTTTTTATTCTTGCCAGTGTTTAACCATTCAGCGCTCTCGCGTTCTCCTAGAGACCATGCACTCATACACACTCGCAGCGCACACACAATGCCAGGTTCACATTACTCCGTTTGCAGTGTGTATGTGGTGCGTATTTTTTCCACGCTCATGTTAACTGATTACTGGATTAATAAAGCGTGCACACTGCGCATGGTTGCAGACCAGCAGTGCGTTCCACGAGCGGTGCGTCTGCAGCAGTGCAGAGATTGTTTCCGTACCGAGTATATTGCTGCGCTGCAAGTGCTGAATTAAAGTAACAGTATATATGAACATGGATTGACACGAAAATGTAGTAATTACACCATAAATGCATATTATTGAAGTCCTCTATATGGCTTGGCTAGGTTTAAAGGGAAAGAGCACTTTTAGATAAAGAAGGCAATTATAGATGGCACTCGTGGCGGTAGGAAAACAAAGTTCTTTATGAACTGCATGGATTGCTTGTAATAAAGATTTCAATGCAAAAGGAAAGGAAGTAGAGCTGACTATTTCTGTCAGTGGTAAGTTTGTGATAACGTAAGAAAAGTAGTTTAAATGTTTTGCCACTTGCTTGAGCAACTTAATATATAAATCTAGAAGTAAATGCAAAAGTAAAAAGCATTGAATAATTTGTTGCTTATATTTATTTCTTTGAAAGATTGTATTACTGTACCGTGTAAAAAAATAATTACAATGCTGAAAAAGCATTTTCAGAGACAATGTTTGGATTTGAAATCAAAATAATGGATAAATGTTGCGTTTGTGGTAAACAGCCACGGATCAGTAGCGGACTCCTGTGTGAAAGCACAATGAGAGTCCGTGCTGCTTCCCCTCTCACAAGAGTCACCTAAGAGGGGAAATTCCCCCATTTTCAAAAATGAAATTCAGGCCCTGAATAAATGTCAAATCCTGATTGGTGTATCACTATAAATAGTTATAAATTATCAAAAGAAGGTTTTTAAAAGACTGTGATCGGTATCTGCAGATACTGCTTTCTGAAAAAAAATCTGAGCACCCCTAGTTTTAAACATCTGTCATTCTACCTAGTAGTTGCCTTTGGCGCTTAAAATAGTCCTGATTAAACTACTTTGATGTCTGTAGGATTTATACTATAGCCTTGTTTGTAGGTTGTGGGAATATATTCCAGAGTAGATTAGAAATTTCTGACAGTTGTGATATTTAAAGCCATGTCATGCTGTAATCATCTATTTAATCAACTGAACGGGATGTCTTTTTTTCACCCTTTTGGCCTAAATGCCCTCAGAGGACAGTGGGTTTAATATAGTGACTGTGCCGTCAACCCACACAGGCAGCTTTTCCCAGCTGAGCTTTGTGATCCTCTGTGATGTTAGACATGGCTTTTAGAGTCTTTTTTTTTTTTTTTCAATCCCATGGTTCAAGTCATGATCTTTGTTCATAAATGCTTGGTGAAGAGCAGGAAGGCTGTTTTACACTCAAGGTTCATGAATTAAGGCAGAGAACAACTGATGTTAAAAGTGGCTGGACTAAGAATAGCATTTGCTGATGAGGTGGTATTGGCCTAATCCTCTGCACACTGTTTTAGTTTGATTGCACCCCATCCCCCCCTTCAAAAGCCAGGATGCACAATGTAGCCTGCTTAGATATATGATTGTATCATTTGGATTGCGAGAGCTCAATAGGTTCAAAGATTTGCGTATCTTACTGGCTCAGAAATAGAGGACTGTCCCTTTAAGATCCCTTGGGCTGAATAGCCACAGCCAAGAATTTAAGTGGTGACGCTCAGGAGTGTTTGAGCTTGAAAGAACTTTATTTGCAGGGGATTGTTGGTTTCTTAGTTACCAACTTTGTTAGTTCTGCAACAACGGAGGTCTGGAGCTTGGACTGCTGTATTATTGTGAGATTTGTCCTAAATGCTGCTTCAGTATACCTCTTCATGCTCAATGAATACAGACTTGTCAAGCATTTAGTTTTCTTCTCTTCCCCTCATCTTTTTTCACTCCTGAAATGTTCCATTAGTGTCCATAGAAATGTCAAGGCTGTGGTAGCTGAATGTAACTATCATCTTTCCATTGTGGATTAGTTAAAAATGACAAGCAGTGACATAAATGGGCTACAACTCTGCTTTTGAATCTAAAAATATCTCAATAGTTGTCATCTTTCTGTAGCTTCTGAAAAGCCTAAATGTTAATAATATTTTTAAGTGAGGAAACTAAGTAAATATGTTTTCCAAGCATAATCAGTTTAATTTTTCAAAAGAGTAATGTCGAGCAGCCTTTAAACAACTCTTTAGATTTTATTCCTTTTCCATATCCGGTTTGATTTTGTGCTCCGTTTGCCTGAGGCAAAAGCACATCATTTTTTTTTTAAAGCAGACCACAGTTGAGAGTGCTGCACTGGAAACATTTCAACATGCGTCACAGGTCTGTCAGAGTGTTTTTTGCTTAGGATTGTGATTGCACATGACTTGAAACTCCTTGTGAGGTTAGCAATTACGCTTTCAAATCAAATCTGTACCCATCTCATTTTTCTCAGCAGTTTAATTCACATGAACTTAAAGGAATAGTTCACCTTAAAATTAAAATGGTCATTTATTCTCCGTCATGTCGTTCCAAACCTGTGTGACTGACTTCTGTGGAGCACTGATATATTTCTTAAAATATCTATTTGTTAACCCAGCACGTTGTATGTGTATATTATAACCCCCCCCCCCCCCCCCCCCCCCCCCCCCCCCCCTCCTTTTTTTTTGTCCTTACATTTGAAATTTAACTGGCTTCCATTGTTGTTTCCCAATATTCTTCAAAACAAGTCTTTTAAATGGTACTTTTTAGATGGATATTGCACTGCTTTTTAAGGCTGATAGCATCATCTAGTATCTGTTTTAGTGAATCATGTCATGCCCTCTCAGTCTTTACATTTAGTTTGACATTAAGGATTCTTGTCAAAGGACAGCTGCTTTGCTTTGAGCTGGATTTTTTTTAACTGTGGGCTGGCTGATCATGCAACAGCTGACTTGGTTAAGGTGTCAGTCAGCTATAGAAGTGTATGAATGAGTACATTCATCAGTTATGGTTATGGCAAGTCTTGGCTGCCCCGAAAACCCCTTCAGCGCTTACGCAGTCGCTCAGATTGGCGTTAGCTAAATGGTTGTAATAAAAGAGTTTAATCCCCTCTGAGCCCCCATGAGTTTGATGACATGAATGTTTTTCTGAGATTCTCTGCAGCAAGTCTTGACTTTACCGCAGAGAGGGACTTGATGACTTTGCACTTTCTCTCTTCCAGGACTGAATAATGCTTTGACGGGGTTGGCCGCATTGATTACAGTAGCTCAACCCCATTCAGCTCGGTGTCACTAACTCTTAACCCTCTCCTCTCTATCTATCTGTCTCCCTGTCTTGCAGGTTTCTAAGCATTAAGACAATGTAATGAAGCAGAGCAGAGTGGTCGTAGCAGGATTTGCCTTCCAATCACACCCCGGCATCTAGGATCAAATTCACCAGAACCTGCCAGGCACTGTGGGCAACCTTTTTCCTGTTAAAGGACTTTTGTTCCATATACTATATATGTAATCTGTATATATAGATAAGATGCTCTGCATATATCTATATATTGGTATGTATATACTATATCCACACAGAGAGCAGGCTTGGTTTGGAGTTGGAAGCTGTAGCCTTTTCTATTGTCCTGTCCCTTAAGACTTTTCACCCCCTCCTTCTTTGAAATGGAAAACAGTAGAAAATGGGGATGTAATTGTGCACATGCCAACATTTTCCCGAGTTCTCTCCTTCAGGAAAGCTGTTTGGGGTCCTTCCTGAATTCTCGGTTGCCCATCAGAGCAGTTTTGGCCCCCCTTTCCCTTCTCATCGACCTCTCGTCACAAAGCGTGGCACGAACCCAGACACTCTTCTGTCAGAATGGAGACATCTGAGACACATTTTCATCCTTCAATATTTTTTTGCTCTTCCTTTCCTCAAGCAAAATGAACAATCTGAGATTAAATGTTTTTTTGTTTGTTTCAAATGTATCCAAATAATTAAAAAGGCAACCATTGGGTTTTGTTTTTCTTTTCTAAAAAGGTCATTGCGATTCTGCCTGCTGATATGTGCTAGAGAGCTTCTAATGTGAAGATTAAAAAACAACAAAAAAACCTTGTAGTGACTACTAGGTTTCTCTTTAGAACACTTCATTAACTATATTGTACTTGGTATTCTGAAGTCTAAAAAATAAAAATAAACTCAGAAGCATATTCATTACAAATTAGGCATCACTCTGAACTAAACCTGTATGTTAATTGCTTAGATGAAAATTATATGCATCTGATCTGGGTTTTTTCTCTTTGGAAAAATGTTTGTTGATTGAGAAAGTAAGCATCTGTGCGATTAATTGCTATGATAGGCTTAATGTTCTGTTTTTGAGAGAAAAATGTGCTCACTCCACCCTTCCATTTACATTTTTTATATGCATATTATAGCTTCTTTTTTTTTCAGGAAAAAAGTTAATTTTTTTTTTTTTTTTTAATAATCTTTCCCTGTATTGAATCAATCATTTTGGGGAAAGTTTTTTTTTTTCTTTTTTCTTCCTGTGGTGAAGCAGATCCTCGTGTAAAATATCTCTGGGACGTTCTCTCTGCAACAATTTTTCGCTGCTGTTTGGTAGCGGTCTTTTTGCTCATTTCTCTTTTCTTTTTTTTTATTGCAAAGAAAATGTTGGAGGGTTTCTTTTCTATATAGTTTTGGGTCTTGTGAGGCAAGAGCAATTTGATTTTCCTTATGTTTTCCTCTGCCTTTAGCCATGACAAATGCACACCAGTAACTTGGCTTTCTTTTCTTTTTGTTTTCCTTGCCTCCAAACTGTCCCTCAGAACCAGCTTTAAGTACGTTACAGCTGGACATTCTATAAAAAGTGTAATTTATTCCCTTTTAGCATGTCAGAATAAATGAAAATGTCTTCTCAGAAATGCTGTCCTAGTCTCTGTAATTTTACAAGAATGCAAATAACTTGGAGTACTGATAGACATCCCCCTCCCTTTCCATTTGTTCAGGTATCTGGCTCTAGTCTGCACATTTATTGTTGAAGTACCTCACAACCAGGCATCAAACTTTTTTTTTTAAACTGAAAATTAAAATGAGAAGGCAAAATGACTGGTTTTCAAAAAAAAAAGGTAAAGCTTTGAATGATTTGGTCTCAAGTGTTTAAAGAGACATCTTTATGGAAATGATTTCAAGATGTTGCTGTCATCCAGGAAAGCAATTCTTGTGGGGTGGTGGGTGCTTGTGGTGGTTTAAATTTCCAGGGTTTATATCTGTAAATATTAAAATGGCTTCAAATGGCAGGTGTGGAAATTGGTTAATGTTCTTATTGACAAACCATAGAAAGGGCTGCGTCAGTTTCCTAAAACGTTTTTTTTTTTTTTTATATTCAGCACTGGATTATTAATAATTTTGTGTTACGAATTATAACGTGTTTTTTTTTATGTTGCTTATGGAGTCATATGTAGGGGTTTCAAATCAAAGCATAATCATAACTTGCCTGTTATTTAAGTAAATGACAGTGGTTTAAAGTGTGCTGAGAATAAGTCTAAAGACTCAAATGGGACACTTGAGGGAAATTAACGAGTGGAAGGGGGGAAGGGATTGGAGTTCAGATCAACACATGCACAAAACAGCTGCTGCCTCATAGGGGGAAGGAGTAGGAAGGCACATAGAACAAACCTGTTCAACAAAACCACCAGTATGAGTACACAAAACGTAAATCTAACGGCCTTATATGATCATGTACAAATTTTTAGTCTGCAAATGCTTAATACCTAATTTAAACTCTCTTTGTATAGCCTTTGGTGTATTGTTCAAAGACGGCCTTCATAATGTATGAATGACTTCTTTCCCACTGAAGGCTCTTCTGAAGGCCTCTCTTCCCTTTATGAGGTGGAGTCCTGAAGCCGCACGAGTCAAGCGTCATGTGACCGCAGGCCGTTCTGCTGTAACTGTGTAATGTAATCCATGCTACACACTTTAATCACCCTCAGTTCCTCTATATCCCACTGTGAACGCATCATGAAATCAACGTTTAAAAAGATTACTTTTTTTTTGTGTGTTGAATGTACCTAAATAAATTCGGGGAGTGGCAAACCCTGCCTCGAAGGCAATAAATTAAATGCAGGTTTTTATTTATTAAAAAAAAAATTTTTTTTAGATGTGTAAATTATGCCGCTATCGGAACAATAAAATGGTAAAAAAGAAGAAAAACACGACAAAGATTACTTGCATTAAGCAATTTTATTGCACTGAATATTTGTTACAGAATTTTTTTTACGTTATTTATCTATTTATTTCATATGTGAAAAAGCTATAGTTTTTCTGATGGCAGTTATCCAGTGAAAATATCTTATATTCTGTATTTAGGGTAACAACAAAATTGCATTCATATCACCTCATTCATTTTTATTTTCAGATACAAGATTTGGAGGGGAAAAAAACTCTGAATGTAGATGTAAGCGTCTGAGGATTTGAAAATGCGCGTGTCATGAGACTAATTTACATCAAACTTAATCTCATCCAAACATAAGATTAATCTCTGAGAACTACTGGATGAGCTGGGAGTGGTCAGTCCATATACAGCATGACACACGCCTCCTGTAGGGCATCTGCACCCTGTTAATCAATGAGAACACACCCTAATAAGAAACACTCCTGCTTTTTAGTGACCGAGAATGACACATTAAATCAATACAAGATTCATTTTTGTTTATTCTGGATTTGTGTTGATTTGTTAAGAAACTTCTTCGATAACAGTAAACGTCACATTGTTAATGTTTTCATGAGGGACACTAACGCAAAACTGTTAATATTTTACACCATATGTTTATAAATTTGGCTCATACACACAACTGCGAAAGCTCAGAATATATATATATATAAATATATACTTATCCCATATATTATAGATAGATATACAGCTCAGAATATATATATATATATATATATATATATATATATATATATATATGCTTATCCCGTAAATGCCTCAGGCAATGGCGTGACACATACTTGTTCCTCCCTAGTCAAACTTGTGGCCCCCTTGTGACATTAATGAGACACTGCACCGGTTTCGATGAGCCTTGTGACACACAGACAGCTTCAGGAAAAGATCACATTTCATCCTGTTGTTTGAGCGTCAGCTGTACTACGAGGGGTAAATGAAAGCCAATCCATCTGAAATAATATCAATGTGTTGTAACGCAGAGCTATCCGATTTAGGGGATTGTGTTACAGGTACCCCCTGCGCTCCCCGTATATGTAATTACTGGAAAAACTCAAGCTGTGGAAAAAGGAAGAATTCAGAATATTAGAGCAAACATACCATTCTTTTACTTTAAGCTATACAGTTATTTAGCTAATTCACTCAAAATTGAAGAAAGTGGCGTTTTGGCAGACAAAATGGCAATCTTTATAACGAAATAAAGAATAGGGTGTCCAAATATTTAATTAGTGTGTCTCATGAAACTGTACTGAAAAGTACAAGGCACCTTGACATGTTCAGACACACCCGGCACGGCAGAGCTCTGGAAATGCCCCCAGCATGTGGTGTCATTCACCGTCTCACACATTTCTGACACACCCTATCTTAAACTGACATTTCACAATGCACACTTAACACGCAGATAGTTACTGTCTTTCAACTGCATGCTGAATGAATGAGTGAGTGTGTGAATTATTCATGCTAAAGGATTAGCCACTCCTCGTACATAAAATGAAAGGCCCATGATAGTCCCTAGCCTAGGCTTGCTTAATGACCTTAAGAATGGACCAGACTATCGAGTTTTTTGGTTCACTTTTCATGACTTTGTGGTTAATACGTGTAATTTTCATAACATACTATTTAAATTCCAGAATATCCGCAGTGACTGAGTGTTAGGCCCACTACTGAGAAAATGCGACTAAAATGGTTAATAGTGAAACCAGTTAAACAACACAGCTTGTAGAGCGCTCAAAAGATGTTTGACATTGTCAAATGTCTCTTGAGTGAGTGACGCCGCAGTGACTGAGTGTTAGGCCCACTACTGAGAAAATGCGACTAAAATGGTTAATAGTGAAACCAGTTAAACAACACAGCTCAAAAGATGTTTGACATTGTCAAATGTCTCTTGAGTGAGTGACATGTTGAAAAAAAAATGGACCAGTTTGTCTTCACGTAGTAGAGATAAGGTCATTCTCTCAGTATTGCTTCCTGGGACTTTTACGTTTTTTGGAATGTTCCAGATCAACGTTCCTAGAATGTTGCATTGTGAAAAATGAAAATTCAGTTAAAAGAACGCTTAGGAGCGTACTAACCTATAAATAACATTGACTTAATGTTATGGAAACGGAAATTTTTGGCTTTTCATAAAGTGTTTTTTCAGACGTGGAAAGAAAACATCCAAAAGACACCGTTCAGTGTTTCTTTTCGAGCACTTTATCTATCTGTGTCAATAGATTTCAATTACAATGCATATTTGTAAAGGCCGTTTTCTCAAAATGAGTTTTTTCTCCAACACTGAGCCATACATTTCCACTTCAGTAGCACTTACACACACCAAACTTTACATTTGTATTCCTGTCTATATCCTGAAGGTTTTTACAGAGGGATTTGTTCATATATAATTTGCTTGATTATATACAACATTTTAATCCCCCCCCAAATTGTGAAAATGTAGTGTTTTCTGTCCGTTCTAAGCATTTTCTGAATTATGGAGTGACAAAAATTAGATACCCAAAATTCCCTCTGTAAAAACTGTTGACTCTAATATGTCAAAAAAAAAGAAACAAGAATTTTGAAACTGGCATAATCCAGTATTTAGATTTTTTTACTAGAAACATATGCAAATGAGCGCATATTTCATTAAATAATGACTGATTTGCATATTTAAACCTAACATTTTAGAAAACTTGTAATACCAATTTTATTTGCAATTATCAATGTAATCAATGTAAGGCGATAACTATTAGTTATTTTTACCCTATTCACCTGCAGTGTCTCGCCTTAAAGCAATGTTCTAATAACATTATGGAAACTAGATCTTTTTTTATGCTCCTAGAGAATGTTGAGTTGTTAAAATTAAGAAGAAAGACTGATGCAAGGACATTATGTTAACCTTAAAACAATGTTCCACTAACACCAAGAAAACTCCCACAACCAAAATATAATGTTTGGAAAACATTTATAGAACATAAATTTGTTTGCTGGGCAACTGGTTGCAGATTAATTGTTTCTTAACCTAACAGCTTTTTTCTGTAATGTGTCACTAGAAATACGCCTACCCTGCAGCGCATGGCAGACAGTGTGGCAAATCACGGGAATTCTCACTCCGAATGGAGTGGCAGTGTGTGGTCTTGGTTAAACAGATGGCGAAAGACATTTGGCCTTGGGAACGTTGGCATTTGAATGAGAAAAATGGAGGGAACAGGAAGAACACACCTTGCCATGATCA